CTTGTTTCACAGGCGGCCTGCAATTCCGGCATTTGGCGTCAGGACCAGCGACCCATGAATCATGACGAACTTTGTTGCCGAGGTTTACACTTTCTGAAGCAACGCCTGCCTGACGAAAGCTTCGCCTCTGCTTCTCGGCTGCACGTGGGAAGGCAAAGACTTCTGAACTTGCCTTGCTTTCACTGCTGCCCAGCTTTTTGGATTGACCGAGAAATGCAGATATCGGCTCTGTGGCATCAATGCTCGCCTGGCGGTTCGCACGCCGCTCTGCAGCAAATTCAGGAGCAGCTTGCGATTCAGTCTGGGTGGCACTCCGGAAAATATCCGGTTCTGACAAGCGACCTCCTCCGGTGTTCGACTCACAAGCAGCTAGGGGTTCCTTGGAGAACACAGCCACTGCTGGAAGAATGACATGAGCCATGGGTTTGCAAATGTGCTGTCGCAAGATACGGCCAACCGCTTGAACTATGCTGGTGTAGCTGTTGCGTGGCTGCACGAACATGCAGGTATCTGCGTTGGGGATGTTCACGCCTTCGCCCAGCACCTGCACTGTCACAAGGACGTGAACGGGTCGCTGCAAGTCGCCCGAAAACTCTTGAATGACACGTTGCCTCTTGAGACGACTCGTCTCTGAGTTGATGTGCCAGACAGCTATGCCAAATGTCGCGAAGATCTGCTGTGCGCGCTGAGCTTCAGCCACAGAGTTGCAATATGCCAGCACCCTCCTGAAGCGACCCTGGCTCGACTGCAGAAGCCTCGCAAGGCTCGAATATGGATGACCCTCGGTGATCATCGGTACTGTGAGATCGTAGTCGCACAGGACCCTTTCCTGGATAGCTTGTCCCATGCCATATTCATAGTCTGTCTTCATCGAATGAGTTGCTGAGAAAAGGAAGAGCTCCTCACATTCAGGCATTTCAGAAGGCAACGGATGGTGAGCCTCATCCACGAATACGACTTTGGTTCCACAATCTTGGAGAAGATTTACAGAGTTCGTCACCGCGATGAAGCCAGAAGCACACCTGTTGATGTGCTTGTTGTAGCCCGTCCCCACCTTGCAGAAGCTGGGGAAATCTGCCGCAAACTGCTCCAGCAACAAGCGCGAAGGCACGGTGATCAACACCTCGTCTTAGTGTCAAATTAACTACTATCATTCTTGCATGATGCTGGCAGGAGGTGGAAGCATCTCACTTGTCTTTTCAATTTTCTTTTTGGCCGCGGCATGACGCATGCTCCCCGCCTTGCCGGAGACGTTCTGAGTCAGCTCCCGGATAACTCGCGTCTTTCCCGTGCCGCAAGCCATCTCAATCACTCGAGCCCCCTTCGCACATGCATCCAAACAAGCCTGATAATTGCGGGTCAGGCAAAAGAAACTTCTACAGTGTTCTATTGGAGGGAAAGGTAAAAGTGCTCTTTCCGCTGCTACCGAAGCCTAAGAGCATGCAGTAAAGAGCTAAAAA